AGCGTACAAAAGGAGCAGAGCCAGGAGGGCCGGGAATGAGGGACCGCAGGTGAGGAGACAAGTCTCGACAAAACCAGCACAGTAGCACTACAGGAACCAGTCCGGGCACAAACAGCAGCACTTTTAACCTATAAAGCTTCCTCTATATGATTTGATACGCAAACTAAGCTTTTAAATTATCAACATGATCAAAACTTTGCTGAAAACTTCTATGCTTTCTGTTGACTGACTGATAGTTTTTTAGCAAGTTAAAGGCCTTTTTACAGTGGGCGAGAGAGCTCAACGCGATGCAACTGAAGAAAACACATGCAAATAGAAAAAAACACCCGCAAATTAAGAAAACATCTTTATCAGTTTCACAACACACGTGTGCTCCAAATACTCACAACACAACCAAACACAGAAACACGCTGCAAATAACACAGGACACAATGGAAATGTTTCCAGGGGACCCCAATAAGTGAGGAACCCGGCTGGGACGTGCTTACAGCTCAAAAGTCTACTTTATTTTATTTAAAATTTTTCTTTTTGCAAAACATACAGAGATGACATTTTATGACATACAACTTTGTATACAATATACAAAATGTATTAACAATATGTTCAATGTCATCAGAACACATCTTGAGAAAAGAACAATGAGCTGAAAACTAAAATAAATATTTCTGTGTTTGGTTGTGTTGTGAGTATTTGGAGCACACGTGTGTTGTGAAACTGATGAAGATGTTTTCTTAATTTGCGGGTGTTCTTCAGTTGCAGCGCGTTGAGCTCTCTCGGCCACCGTAGAATTGTAAAAATGTCCACCTTCAGGTCGTGGTTAGTAAGACTTACTAAGACATATTACTGAGAGACATAGAGTGCATTTTATACAAGTACTGTTATACAGATCTCATGAGTAATAATGAGATAAAGAGAATAAAATATCTTGTAAATAATATCTGCACCAAATTGAATATTTTTGCTCAGTAAAACTGAGGGGTTTGTTATGGAAGCTTGTTTCCGCCACAGAATGAAAAATAAAAAAGGTAATTGCGAATTTTTATCTCAATTTTGACTTTTTTTCTCACAATTGCGAGTTTACATCTCGCAATTCTGACTTTATTTCTCACAATTGCGAGACATAAAGTCAGAATTGCGAGATATAAAGTCAGAATTGATTTATATAAAGTCGCAATTGCGTGTTATAAAGTCAGAATTGCGAGATATAAAGTCAGAATTGATTGATATTAAGTCGCAATTGCGTGTTATAAAGTCAGAAATGCATAATATAAAGTCGAAATTGCGTGTTGTAAAGTCAGAATTGTGAGATATAAACTATTCTGAGAGGAAAAAAGTTAGTCTTTTATTTTTCCTTAGAATTGGCCTGATAACTGAGATGGTCCTCACTGCAGAACACGAAATACAGGGGAGGAGTTGGATCCAGATCCAACTCCTCCCACCTTACGTATATCTAAACCTACCCATCTCCGCCCCCTGATCTCTAACCCCACCCCTAATCCTACTCATCTCCACCCCCTGATTTCTAACCCCACCCCTAGTCCTACCCATCTCCACCCCTTAGATCTGGATCCAACTCCTCCCACCTTACGTATATCTAAACCTACCCATCTCTGCCCCCTGATCCCTAACCCCACCCCTAATCCTACCTATCTCCGCCCCCTGATCTCTAACCCCACCCCTAATCCTACTCATCTCCACCCCCTGATCTCTAACCCCACCCCTAATCCTACCCATCTCCACCCCTTAGATCTGGATCCAACTCCTCCCACCTTACGTATATCTAATCCTACCCATCTCCGCCCCCTGATCCCTAACCCCACCCCTAATCCTACTCATCTCCACCCCCTGATCTCTAACCCCACCCCTAATCCTACCCATCTCCACCCCTTAGATCTGGATCCAACTCCTCCCACCTTACGTATATCTAACCCTACCCATCTCCGCCCCCTGATCCCTAACCCCACCCCTAATCCTACCCATCTCCGCCCCCTGATCTCTAACCCCACCCCTAATCCTACTCATCTCCACCCCCTGAGAAAAGATGTCAGAATTTTGAGATATTAACTCGCAATTATGTGTTATAAAGTCAGAATTGCGAGATGTAAACTCGCAATTGTGAGAAAAAAAGTCAGAATTGTGAGATCAAAAGTAAAAACTGCAGTCTGTTTTTCTCGCAATTGCGACTTTATTTCTCAGAATTGCGACTATATCTCGCAATTGGGACTTTATTTCTCACAATTCTGACTTCATATCGCGCAATTGTGAGATAAAAAGTCGCAATTATTTTTTTTATTCAGTGGCGGAAACAAGCTTCCAGTTTGTGCCCCATTTTCTTACTAAATAATTTTTTTATATATAGATTTACGCTTTTAAATTAATAGTTAAATTCTATCAAATTGAATTGAATAATCCTTACATATTATTCATATTATGAATAAAGAATAAATGAGTAAAAAACCTAACGCTTCAAAAAACATTTAGTTTAAATCTTAATGGAACAAGGGAATGGACCGTTTGATTTGTATAGGTTACAAAATGTTTTATTAAGCTCTAGGTTTTTTTTTTTTTTACTAAATAATAATAATGAAAATAATAACGGCAATAATTTGAAAATAAACTGTCTCCTCTAGAGTTTCAGAACCTAAAATAGTCTCAATTTTTATTTTACCGAGACTCAAAAGTCAGAGACCCCAGTATGAACTCAAACATTTCTCCCAAACCATCGGAGCAGCTGCTGTCCACACTCATTTTATAGCTCTGGACTCTTAATAACAAGCGATTCATTCGTCTCCATTTTAATTTCTCTTTAAGCATTTTAATAGAAACATCTGAGACAAAGTTGATGAGCTCTGAGCGAGAGACAACCTCAGAGCAATTTCAGACAAACCAACAACAAACACACCACAACACAAGCAGTGGCACATGTTCTCCCAGCACAATTCCCTGTGTTTCTTCAATCTGGTTGACAAAAGGCTTGATTATTAGGCAAACTGGTTAGCTGGGAAGCTTTTGTTCACTGGCAACATCCAACAGACTCTTTTGTGTGTTTCCATAGCTTTTCTTGGTATGCTTTGATGAGGTTCCCCCTTTGTAAAAAATCCATACAACCTTACAAGTCATTCTCACAGGAGCAGAGAGAGAATTGAAACTATTAAAGCAGAAAAATGTGGATAGTTGAATAAGATTTAGACTTGCATCTAAATACAAAGCAAACATTACAGATAAGTGAGAGATGACTTCTGCCGTGACAGTGAACACATGTTATGATAATGGAGTATCTGTGACGTGGTTGAAACACAATGTATGCTTCACTGGAATGCCCTTTAGGGCGTCTCACCCACTGACAGGAACAGTCACCTGACCGGCCCATGTGCGCAGGGCTAGGGGAAGTAAACACTGGGAACATTCTGGAACAAGTCAATCTATTTACATGGATATTTATTTTCCCTCGCTCTTGTGCTTTCTGTACGTTTACATCTGATAGAAAGAAGAAGATTGTGTAAATCTGAGTTGGTGACCCCGTAACCACCATAAACAGTGAATATGCAGATTATTACTTGACTTTAATTGTGAATTTGACACTTAATAATTCAACAATAGGCTATTGCTGATTTGACTGCACTGACACTATTGGATGAGAACAGAACTGAACTGAACTGGACGATGACATCACTGTTTTCTGCAGAACTGCTTTCTAGATAAAATGAATAATTTAATAATTGATGATTTTCAATGGAACTGAACCAACACTGAGCTGACTTCAGCTCTATTGTAAAAAGCGCTATAGAAATAAAGGTGACTTGACTGTAATGGGGGTTTGAATGGTTGAATATTAATATAATTATCCTACCTTTGGTCTGCCCATCCTTGAGTTGGTTTGGTTACATCGAAACTTGAGGCCCATCAAGACCAAATCCTGTCAATTCAAAAAACAGAAAGACCTAAAATAGAAAATGCTCCATTTATTGCAGAATTTCCCATCAATTTGAAATTGACTACGGAGAAGCTGAGATCCAGATCGAGATTGAACATAATTTTTGTTTCGAGACCCAGTCCCAGACGGGGGAAAAAAGCACATTTATGTGGTCTTAAGATCGAGACTCCATGCAACTCCACATTAAGAAAATAGAAACAGAATCGGTTCATGGAATGTTATGCAGATGTTGTGGTTTGTGTGATGTTTGAGATATCTTTATGTGATTAAGTGAGATCTCCGTTAACCATTTCAGTTTCATTTTGTGTCAAAAAGTAAAACAATGAGCTCCTATCAGCTACTAAACATGTAATTTCATATTATATATTATTAATATGCATGTTGTTGATATTTGAAATCACTGTATGGTCTCTAATGGCTCACAAAATAAAGTTTAAAAACAACTACTTACCGAGTTAAGCAGAAGCTGTGTGTGTGGAGTGAAAGTGAACGAATGGTCCAGTGTCTCCCCCTAGTGTCCATTACAGGAAGATGATTACAATTACGTCAGAAAATTACTCTTTTTTTGAGGATTACACAATCATAGAGTACTAGTTCAATTGTTGAACTAATTGCAAACTGTTTTCTTGCATTAAGAAAAAAAAGAGTACTAGTTACACACTGGATTATCATTCCAGTTTACTTCAGAACAAATGTGTTGTTTTAAAGAGGAAGCCCCTCTCCATGTAACAGCTATCTTTATGTAGTCAAAATAAAGGTTATTTGCATAATGAGCCCATGTTCTTTTACATTATATCCTTTCAATTGTTATAATGCATCATGTTATTTTTACGATAAACTTTTATTCATTTTAATTAATTTTTTTTTAAAGTCATGTATGGGTGAAGACAGCAAAGTAGTGCCAAGGCTTAAAATTGTTTTGACTAAAATTCGACTAGCAATTTATTACTTAAAATACATACAGCAATATAATTGATTATTTCTTTCCTACAGAAATAAAACACCTTGATAACTCAGCCACAAAAGCAGCAGTAAGATACAAAGCAAGATGTCCAAGACAACAAAGTCATGAACAATCCCCAAAATGCGGTTTTATTGAAAATTAAGATGACATCACAGCCTCGGTCACGGTGAACAGAATTATCACATGGCAATGGCATTGTGGAAGTTTGCATATATCAGTGAAATCAAACCTGCAGTCTCTGGGATAGACCTTTGGCAACTTTAAAATGTAAACCAAACATAACAGTTATCAAGAAAAATCAAACAAAAACAAAGGAAAGTTAGCAGTAAATCACAGAATGAGTCATGCTCCCATGATTCTTAGTCAGCACGTGTTGTCCGGATGTTCTGGAGAAAGAACAAACATCATAAATCCTCCATACAAGTAGAACTGCATTTAGATAACATCTTCATTACTATTTTTTATTATTCTTTTTAAATAAATCAATGGTTTTTTCTTAAAAGTACCCATTATCCATCTTTAATGATACTTCAATTTGCTTCGTTAAATTTCATTTTTCAGGTGTACATCATCTCGGCCATGTGCGACATCTTCTTGGGGATGTAAAGGTAATATTCCATGTATCCGGAAAGGTCCTCTATTGTGATGTCATCCACGTAGGCGCGGGCCTGTTCGGAACAAGACCGAGGGGAGCTGGAAGTTCCGTTATTACTCCCAATGGAAGTTCTGCTGTTCGGAAGTTCACATTCGGAGATCACGTCACGAAGGCCGGTGAATGAGTAAACCTCGACCCCCTGCCAACCGGGACACTGGCATTCTCGTTGCCCACACGGGCACTGACCGGCTTCCTGCAACTTGGACAGAGTTTTAAAGTCAGGCGGAACAGCCTTACCTTCGCCCGCCTCCTGAGATCCCGGCCCACATCCTAAAGCGGGCCTGTTTTCGGGAGAGCTCTCGTCATCCGACGGCTTTCTCGGACTGAGGGGCGGCTCCTGACCCTTAGGATAAGGGAGATGGGTTTCATACCCAACGACCCCGAATACAGTGGAGCACGGGGCAGAGAACGCCACTTCTTTCTTGACGCCGCTGGTGTCGTCGGGCTCTGGCGGGGTCTTGTGTTTCAGGTGTCCAGGAGGAGGGGACATTTTGCTGCAGTAGGTAAACTTCGGAGGATGAAGGATCGGAGATTTTGATCGTCTGCGTCGCTGGCTTCTCACAATTCCTCTGGACGACTTTCTCGTGCATCTATAGCAAAAAACAAAGGTGAAAACATATTTTTACTGGTATATTTTTGCTATTATTTCTTTAACCCTGTAAAGCCTACTGTATCAAATTCGATACACGAATTTCAAAGGTCTCTAAATAATTAGCATGATCATAACATTGCTGAAAAACTGTTGCACATGATCTACTACATGCCTTCTGCCCTTATTGTTTGCAAGTAAAAGGCCTTTTAGTATAATTGTAAAAAACCCTTTAAGGTTGTGTTTTACTTGACTTTCTGCTGTGAAATCTTTACATATTCTCATAAATTAAGCACAAGAATACCCTAATATATTATTAGCAATATTTCAAGATAAAAACTTATGTAGATTTACATAACTATCCATACATTGTTAAAAAAAAATTTTTTTAAATGAATGAAACGTGATGCATCAGGCATTTGAGTAACGTTTATTCGTTCATCTCTCAATCGTCATTGTACTGCACTCATTGTATGTTTTGCCTCACAGTTAAAATGACAGAGCTTTGATTATAAAACCAAGCATTTAAAAATCATCTTACTAAAGACATTCTATTGGGAGATATAGAGAGACAATGGATATTTGCATGCTTTTTATGCAAGTAATTTGTAATACAGTTATAAAAATCTTATAGATCTACATTACAAGTTATCAGAATTTCATCTTAACATCTGCACCAAATTGCATATATATGCTCAGTTTGGGCCTCTGAGTAAAATTGATGTTTTTTCTTCCTTGAATACGAGTTCAGTATTCTCAGTATATACTATATATGAGACATATAAATGCCTGATGTATCAAATATGATATCCAAACCTTTATCTTTAGATTTTTAAATAAAATATCATCTTAAGTTTCAATAAACACTATTTTAAAAAACAAAAATTCAAACTGATCATTCATATATCAGGCTTTTTAGGGTTAAATAGGGAATCTTAAAGGGGTTCCTACCCAAGCCAGTTATCTTTCGAGGAGGTCATCTTGGATTTGGCTCCGTCCGGACTGCCTCGAACAACCAATCTGGAAGCCAAAGACTCCGAGACGCGGACTGTGTTTGTGGAACTGGAAAGAAAAACGTGCAATTATTCGCAGAGTACAAAAACCCTCTCTGGCTAAATAGTGAGCATCCACTTCACTTGTCGGACAATCTGGAGCTGAAACAAATGAAAAGGCAACAAACCTTTCAGCATCCACACGCAGTTTCTTAAAAGCGGTCTGCAGGGTCTCCTCCTCACACTCCTTTTCTACTTTCTCCACAGCAGCCATAATGTTAGACAGCCTTAAAACTGAAACCAAAACCATAGAGAATAATACAAGTGAGCAGTTATTATGACAAACCCAAATACTTATATTAGTAGATCTCAATCACATAAACACCCTATTTTAACACACTCGGGTACTTTTAACCATTTACAAAGGTTATAAAAAACCATATTATAAAATATTGACTTTTTTTTCTTTTTTTTTAAATACACTACAACATTGTAATTTCCTTTAACACTAATATTTTTTACCACACTGCAGTAACTTAGTTGACAGGTTTTGTCTCGTGTTATGAAACGCTGATAACATACACAATTCGCATAATGAAGTTTAGCTTAGCATCGAGTCCATCAAGGTGGCGCGGTTTACATTGTCAATTTTGCTTGAACAAAATACATCAACAAAAATGGACCATTAGAGAAATATACTCACGGCCAAAGGACCAAAGCCCGTGTAAAGCCTAGACATATAGGAGCTTGTTTCTCCTGTTATGAGGGTCTGTGTGCTCACAAAGCTAACGTTAGCCAGTCAGCCTGCAGAAACGATATCTGTGAAAAAACTCGCTTTAAATCGACCGATAACAGGCTGTCGTCGGGCATAACTTGACCTAGATACTACGTAAATGTAGTAACTACTCACAATAATTGGAAGTAATCAATAAAGCATACACAATATTCTAGATTTTTCTCTCGCTAGTCTCTTGTTTACACTCAACCCAAGAGTGACTCTGCAACAACGCAGCTCTTGATGACGTAGTACACGTACGCACAAACGTCAGTAGATTACGAAAATGGTCATAGAAGCTTCTCGGGTTGTGCCTTTTTTTTTTGTTAAAGTATGCAATAACATATCTAATATATAAAGTGCAATAATAAAATATGTATGTGCAATAATATAAAGATATTTTTTATAAAGATATACCTGAACCATGACCACTTTCTACACGGCTATCTCAGCCATTATTGTGTTTCTATAATCAAAGCAGTGCGCATTGCTGACTGGTGTCCTCTTGTGGTGATCAAGTGAACTGTCTCAAGGCCTTCATATGGGCTCCTTGCAAAGCCTGCTTGCAGTTGAACAGGAAGCTTTGAGTTGTAAAGAAGCCAGACACAAAGTGTATCATAAAGCTGGAATTTATAGCAAGGTTGCCATGGAAGAACCACTTGTACTACTGTACAAAAAAACATTACCAGATGCAAAGCACATTAAAGCCAGATCCCTGAGGAATGGAAAAAGTTTGGTGAGCTCTTGTTTACTCTTTTCCACACATGTGCAGGAGTTTATGTTTGGAGAAAGCCATAGGAAGCCCTAAAACCCCAATGTCTGCTAAACGTGTCAGGTGTGGGCCGGATCTCACATGCAGACCAAGTGTTGCGCTTGTGGCACAAATACTTTACGTTAAAAAAAAAGAAGGAAAAAAAGAAGCATTTTATCATCCACTTTCCTCATCCTTCTATTCATGATTGGGTTTGATCTTGCAGAAACATAATAATATCTGAAGGGAAATGAGCTGTGAAATTCCCAGCATGTTCAAGCATTTAAATTGTAATTCTGGCAAATGCCAAGACTTTTAGGCCTGGTTTCATTTCACAGACAGGTCTTAAGCCAGGATTAAGCCTTATGTAGTACAATTAGGACATTTAAGTATAGCTTTTATAAACGTGTCATAGAAAAAAGAGGGAATATATATATATATACACGGTACACACACACACACACACACACACACACACACACACATATATACATGTATATATTATAGATCTACATATATTATATCATTCTCTATACTTTGGTCTGTTCAAGAAAAATGTACGCAATTTTATATTTGTAATATTTTATAGTTTATTTGAAAGCATTAAAAGACCAGGTTCATGTCTATCCTTCTATTGTTCAACTGGTGGAGGTTGATATGGGATTTATAAAAGTAACTTAAAGTAATAAGTAATCCAATACTTTAGGGAGAGTAATTAGTACAGCAATCTAATTACACTGTTGAAGATGTAAGTAGTAGCTAGCAATTAATGACTTTTTTAGAGTAACTTATCCAACACTGTGGTTAATATTAGTGTTAGACTGAAAGAACTGGACGACTCCGTTTCTCAAAAGCATGTAAAGCCTAAGTAGATTGTAGAACCACTGGCTCCAATGGTCTCTATGATCAACTTAGCTCAATATGCTTTTGAGAAACGCAGCCCTGATTGATACAATTTGATTATGTGCTTTTTTTTTTGTTTACTCTGCCAATAATATAATGATCGTGTCCGTTTAATAGATTTTGGACAATGCTGCAGTTTCTGGCTATGGCCTACAGATGGCGCTGTAGTGTAGGCCTATGTGTGTGCTTGTGAAGAGCAATGTTTAAATAAAAGAGCCTTTTGCAATCTGTCATGTGTTGAAAAGACGGTCTGTTCTCTGCAGTAATCAGGAACGAGGTTCCTCCTAATAAAAAAAAATTCCTCATCTTATTGAATTTTACCCCACATATCATATTACATTGTTAAACACAAACAGGTATTCTGAGCTTCACAATTACAGCTGATGGAGGACAGTTTATCCGAGCTTGAAAGATTGAAGCCCAAACAGTAGCACTGAAAGCACAGTGATGGGTAATAATGAAGTGTTTAGAGGTTATCTTTCTGTTTAGTCATTTCCACTAGGCCAGGCAAAGACAAACGCTGCATTGTTGAGCTCTTGAGGTTCTTTGAGGAGCCTTCATTCTAGTCCAAATGCTTGTGAAAACAAACGTATAAGCTTTATAAACCATCATTTCTCAATTTATAGAAATGTCAAAGCATGGTGCATATTACAGGCCTCTATTCATTAACACAATGGCAGCCTTTTCTTCCAGCACTTTCACTCTGGCGCCCGTGTGATGGGCTTGCAACGGAGGAGGGATTTTACGCAGCTTTCTTTAAAATCATCAGATTTCAGCTCTCTCATGAGGTTTTTATGGATGTTGAGGTTGTGTGCTGAACGTAAAGGCTTTCCTGCCCACATACTGTAGATTTGAGATTGCTGCTTAAAGACTTATTGATAGTTCAATAATTCTAATGAAAATTCTGTCATTAATTACTCGCCCTCATGTTGTTCCAAACCTTTAAGACTTTCTTTCATCTCAATCAATTTCGACTCAATCACTTTGAATAAAACCCTAAATTAAATCTGTTCATCATTTACATTTAAACATTGATCAGCGAACATAAACAGAAGCTCAACCAAACCTGCTTGACTCGTGAGAACAAACCTCATTGGTTCTTGCAGAAGCTCAAACGTGCTGCGTAACACGAGAACAAACCTCATTGGTTCTTGCAGAAGCTCAAACGTTAACACGAGAACAAACCTCATTGGTTCTTGCGGAAGCTCAAACGTGCTGCGTAACACGAGAACAAACCTCATTGGTTCTTGCAGAAGCTCAAACGTGATGCGTAACACGAGAACAAACCTCATTGGTTCTTGCGGAAGCTCAAACGTGCTGCGTAACACGAGAACAAACCTCATTGGTTCTTGCAGAAGCTCAAACGTGCTGCGTAACACATGAGAATTAACCAGATTTCATCAAAAAGATCTTTATTTGGGTTCCAATAATGATTGAAAGTCTTACGGGTTTGGAACAACGTGAGAGTAGACAGAATTTTCATTTTTGGCTGAACTATCCTTTTAAGAGTCTTGCTGTGGGGTAATTGCTAAGGTGTTCTGGATGGTTGCTAGGTTGTTTGTGGTTGCTAGGGTGTTCTGGGCATTTGTCACGACGTTGCTAGGTGATTGCTAGGGTGTTCTGGATGGTTGCTATAGGGTATTCTGAGTGTTTGTCAAAAGAACCGAACTTCAAGCCCATTTTTAGGGCTCACGTCCCTCCTTCATTGTAAGTTTTTCACCTGTTTTTTTTTTTTTTTTTTTTGTCTGACTTGACAGTAGGAAAACATAATTTTGATTGTTTGTAAAAGTAATAGCACACCTCTCCTTCAACAATATCATACATTTCCAATGTGCCAAGTTCCCTAAGCTTATATGAGCAACAGTGATGTGTGCTTCAGCAAGCACACTAATGAAATGAAATGTAACCCCCAGACACTATTTGGCTGGGTTAGTAGGTTTCCGTCTTTTATCTGGGTGTCTGATGATTCTCAGTTTCTGCATACCTAAATAATTAGGATTTATTAAATAATTTAATTTATAGAATAATAGCTGAGGAAGGTTATGAAAACACCGAAGTAAGATTGTGACTTAACTGCCTTAAATGGACAATTTCAGTGCAAGCGTTCTGCACTAGCTGGAATATTCAGTTATATTATTTTTGGCTATAAGGGGGTATGGGAAATAAACATTAAATGAAAGATTACGTTTTACAAGCTTGTCCTGGGCATAGTCACAATTCACTTGTGACTCTTTATGCTTGGTTCCAAAGTGAATAATATTGATGGTCATGCTTTTCAGATAACAGGAATGGGAAAATATTCACTCTTGGTCCATCCTCTAAAGCTTGAGATCCATATTGTGCGGGTTGGCGGAAAAAGTTACTTTATGAGAGTCGCCAATCCATATTTGTGTGTGTGTGTGTATACATACATATATATATATATATATATAAAATTAACCACCCTGTTTATGTATTTATTAGTGCTGTCCAATCGATTAATCGCCTCTAACATAAAAGACTGTATTGTGTGTGTGTGTGTGTGTGTGTGTGTATGTATGGATGTAAATATGGATGCATATATTTTATATTTATATAAACACATATATTATATTTACAAACTTTTGTTAGATGTGATTAATCACGATTAATCAATTTGACAGCATTAGTATTTATTATCCTCCATTTTTGTCTTGTTTTTTTTGTCTTGATGTTGTAATGTTGTGTCTGCGTCCTCTTGTTTGAGCAAAAAGACAATATTTCATTATTAACTGAAAATCCTGCCCTATGCAAGCTATAAAAAAACATTTAAAGTGTAGTGCTTAGTGTAAAAAAATTGGGTTTTATGTGTCTTGCTGTAAATAAACTAGTTTAATATTTTGCTGCATTTGATAAAATCAAAGATATGTGCTATTATCAAGACAGAAGCAGTAGTAGTTTTATAATAATACAATAGACAAAATATCATACCCTATCTTTTGTAGGAGCAATAATAATGATGCTTGCTTTGTGTTTGATGGCTACATTAATCTGTATAGTTTAAATAATGGAGTATTTTCACTATTCTGTGCTAGAACAAAGCAGTTGATGGTGGAATGTCCTCCAACCCTTCAAACAAGTGGCTCCTGAGAGCCCACACACCCACAGCTGCCGGTCAGGCCTACGCGTACACACTGCTGTACATGTGAGTGCACACGCTGGGCTGGGGTCTGAGCAGAAAGGCTTATTGACTCTGAAAGGAAACCTGCTTCCTGAGAGGAAAGAGATTCCCACAGGAATACCAGCATACTGCCGCAAAGAGGAGGTGCAAGGAAAGGAGAGCCATGCTGAGAGATGAGGTTCTGCTCTGGACTAATAGATGTTTCTCCCTTGAAATCTCATTTCAACCCACAGGAAAGGAAAATCACAAATGGCATCTCATATCTTGTTTCTGCCTGATAGAGTAGCCCCTAAATGTATTTGGACACTTACCAGAAATGATCAGACCAAGTCTGCAATCAGAAGTCAGACAACTCTCATCAAATTCTTCCAAGATATCCACATTCATTTGAATATCTTTACCCTTTTTTTGTACACTCTTAAAAATAAAGGTCCCAAAACGAGTTTTTTTTTTTTTTTACCATTGAAGATCCATTTTTGGTTCCCCAAAGAACCTTTAAGTAAACTTTTCTTATAAAAGGACTTTAGTGTAAAGTACCATTTAATAATCTAAGGAACCCTTTTCCACTATAAAGAACCTTTTGTGCAATTGAAAGGTTCCACTGATATTAAAGGTTCTTCATGGATGCCAATAAAGAACCTTTATTTTTAAGAGTGATGTCAACAGTTGTCTCATTTATGTTTATTTCTTCACATACATTTTTAGAAAAAAATATCTGAGACTTCGTTGATACTTAAATGAGATCTCAAAAGAGCAGACTCTTGTCATGATTACATGGGAATGCTGGTGTTTACACCATATGCTCTTTAACAAAACTTGGATGCTGGAAATATTCTCAATTTGCATGAACAAAGCGGTGTTCTTTACAAAGTTCTGGGCTTTCCGCCCATGTTTTTGATCCAATTGGATTTAAGACATTCTGACAACATGGAACATTTGTGGGATTGCTGTAGGGAGCGATTCAGTTCCGGATGGCGGAAGGATGCGAGGTCAGCTGGTTCCCCTTCAAGTCAGGCATCATTACAAACGTCCTGCGGAGGCAGAGGGGCTTTCTAGAATGGACCGTTTCCAGGTTCTCATGCAGTCAGAACAAAAAGAGACTCCATCTCACACTTAGACCCTCTTTACACCTGCTGTTAAGATGCATTTTGATCGATCGCAAGTTTACGAGGGAGACACATACCCGTTCACACCTGGTGTTTTAATCCGTCTTTGTGCACTTTCAACCACTTCTGTCCTGATTTCTTCAAGGAGGGCGGGTAATTGTATGGGTTTTTCAGATCTTTCCATCTAATGGACAAAATAAGCGCTCACAATTTACATATGAAAATGACTGTAGACGACGGAGAAACACAGAGAGCATCAGCTTTCATTTCTGCTCTGACAGACGCAAGACGAACACTGTGAGTGTGTGTTAGAAAACAGGAATGGTGAGAGAACATTGTGATTGGTACGTTTTTCATCTTCAAACTAAACTTGGGTCTCCAGCCGACAAAGTTTAAATCCCGTCTGGCTGGCGCGCATTAGGTCAGTAGACGGAGAGAAGACTGTCTTTTGTGGCTGTTTGAACGCATTCGACCACATGAGCGTTTACACTACAAAAGCAATCCTGTTGAATGCGTTTTCGACAACCTCTGGAAGTGGAGGAAAGTGAACAAACTCAAAACGTTTTAGACCTCGCTTACACCTCGACCTAAACGCATCTTAATACCAGGAGTAAACAGGGCCTTAGAGAGACATGTGATGTCAAATAAATGCAATTACTAAAAAGCAAACATTAATTCAGTATCCTCTAAAAGTCTTTAAAGTGTGCATTGAAATCACACCATAACCTTTGAAGGCTTTCTCTAAGTTTTCTCCATCTTGTTGGTCTGGCAAATTCTGCCTCATTCTTTGCCTCATTCTTTGCTGTCTAGTCACGTAGTCTGTTTGAAAAATCTGGCAAACATCTGGAATCGGTCACTACATTTGCTAGGGTGTCATGTCAACAAGTAGTATGTTATAGTGAACAGCATGTGGGTCATACATACCAGTCATGCTGATAATTGAAGATAATACTGAATGTATCATATTGAGTTATTCACAGTCAGTCTGCTAATAAAGTAGGGTCATTAACTCGTAATATGTCCTAGCAGGTGCACAAGAATGAGTTATGAATGGGTTAGTTCTTGAGAAAAGTTGCTTTTAATAGACATTGAAGGGATAGTTCACCCAAAAATGTAATTACTCACCCTCCTGTCGTTCCAAACTCGACTTTCGTTCATCTTCGGAACACAAATTAAGATTTTTTTATTTTATTAATCTGAGTGATTTCTTTCCCTCCATTGACAGATACGTAACTACTACGTTGACACTTCAAAAAGTTCAAAAAGAGATCATAAATCTAATCCGTATATATCCAGATTTTCTGAAGAGATATGATTGCTTTATATGATGAACAGATTGAATTTAGGCTTTTATTCTTAATTTGTTTCATTTTTGGGTGAACTAACCCTTTAAAAGCCATAAGAGGCTGTGCATTACAGTGATTTTACAGCAGTACAATGGTAATATCACGGTAACACACAGACTTGAGTGGCTTTTTGAACTTACAAAATTTTGTGGTTTTGTAACACTTTACAATAAGGTTTCATTAGTTACCATGAACTAACAATGAACAATACTTCAACAGCATTTATTAATCTTAGTCAATGTTAGTTAATTCCAACATTTACTAATACATATTTAAGATCATTGCTCCAGTCTTCAGTATCCCATGATCCTTCAGATATCATTCTTATATGCTGATTTGCTGCTGAAGACACATTTCTGATTATTATCAATGATGAAAACCATTTTTCAGGATACTCTGATGAATAGAAAATTGAAAAGAACACCATTGATTTGAAATAGAAATGTTTTGTAATATTATAAATGTCTTTATGGTCACTTTTTAAATATTATTTTGTATGTAGTACTTCACTTCAAAAAATACTTAGGCTGAAATTAGGCTGACTTTCAAGTCTGAACTATCCGTTGCACATGTTTTGCTTTTGAGCAATGTTCAGGAAGAAAAAATATAGAGGAAAAATTCTATGTTGTCAAACATGGCAAATCCTTCAAAGCATTTATAATAATCCATTTCTTACCATAGCAAAGGGTTTGATCTATTCCAAATCTGTCCACTCCGCTGTACTCTACCTTGACGCACTAATTGGCTCACATTTGGCCCCTGAACACACAAGTCCTTCGGAAACAATGAGTACAAACATATTTTTCATACTTCTCCCATCTTCTCTGCCCAGGCACCGGCCTCTCAGACCTTAAAGGGCCCTTCTCAGAGCTGTAAATGAGCTGTCAATCACAGGCTAGATCATTTCACTGATTGGAGCAGAAGGCCGATCGGGGTGGAATGATGGGAGAGTGGTGATATATTAGACAAATGCTTGGCCAAAATAAAGGGACAGAGGTTTCTTTATGCTCCGAGCATAAGGAGACTGTTGATGCGCCACGTACACATGCCCGAAGTTTAAGTTTAAGCCACTCAGAGAGTTTCATTTCAAGCAGGAAGCAAAAGCTGAAAGAAATGTCCTTTTTATGGTATTGAATACTATCCGTCCTGTTACATAAGAGGTGTGAAGAACGGATACAGATAGAAGAATAGGTCCCTTCATATCTCTTGTCTCAGAGCGGAATGGATTGATGTGAAAATAAATTCCAGGGGCCCGTTGGCAATGGTGGACACATGACAAAGATTAGTTGATGTGCCGGTCCCTCTCACGCATATTTTCTTTAGTAATTAGGAGGAAACGAGCCAAAGACCTCTAAGACCCCTAAAAAATATGCGCAGACACGGTTTCACACTTTTCAACACAATTTATAGAGTATGTTCTAAGCTTTCATCCTTTGAAGATGATCTTGGATGTGGTAGTGATGCTGTAGAATAGCCGCTTTGTGTAAAGTTATGTGCTGTGTTGTGTAAAAGATATCAGCAGCAGAGTAAGTCGAGATAGACGACATAATAACATCAAATACAGAACTACATCATTGTTTTTTAGATACTGTATGAGCAATTCTGATCTAATTACTCATCAAAATATGTTTTGTTATAGCTTAAAGTGTCGGGGTCCAAAACCCTGTACACAGTCACAAATTAACAAGTATAATCAAATGTAAAATTGATAAATATTTAGACCCATTTTAAAAGTTATTTTTAAAATGCACTGCCCGGGAAGAAAAGAAAAAGTTGCTGTTTGGATTTAAATAAGCAGTCTATGACTGGATCATTATTGCAGTCGTTATTATGTTTCTACCATGTTATAACAGTAACAGTTCTTCTAACCCTAATTGATAGAGTGTGTAGCTTTTCATTTCTTAAACACCCATGTAGGAATACTCATCATGGCCATATTCCAGGATGACATTGTCAAGATGCATCAGGCTCAAACTGTGAAAGAATGGTTAAGAGGAGGAGAATGAAGAATCATTTTCAGTCCAGACCTTAAAATTCATTGAAAGTGTTTGGGATCTGCTGGAGAGACTTTACAGAGTGCTGGACTCTTGCACTGATGCACTTCTTGATTAAAATAACATAATTTCTCTTATACATCTCATACTTGACGAATTGTACATTCATATACACTACCGTTCCAAGGTCTGGGGGTTAGTGTTTTAAAAAAAAGAAAGAAATGAATACTTAAATTAATCAAAAGAACGGCATTTATTTGAAACCGAAATCGTTTGTTACATTACAAATGTCTTTACTGTCAAGGCATAGAGAACATAAAGGTTTGCTAAAGTGAATTTAAACTATTGCTACAACACACTCTGACATACGCATCCATTGACCGATGAGAAATTCACAGATGTCGTGAAGCTAATGAACTCTATTCCAACTCTATTTCAGACTGACTAGGCTCTCTCCACAGCCTCAATCCATGGATGTTGTGCATTCATACATGTCAAACGCTCCATCAGAGCGGTCTCTAGTGTGTAAGCTCCCTAAAGCACCATGTGATTCCATGCTGGGAGAGTTTTTCTTGTTAGCGCTAGTGTTAACAAGAGAGTAGAGTAATCTGACATAAATATTCGCCTGGATTAATCCTTGGTTCAAAGTGTGTGTGTGTTCTCAGCTCTGCATAAATAGGTGAAAGTTCATCCGAGTGAACTCCTGGTGTATGGTGTCTATGAGCGAGTCCGAGTCTGCGGTTCTCTCCGCTGTGGCGTTTGCTTGAGAGGGGGCGCTGTGTTCTGGTGTGTAAGTAAACGAGTATGAACTCCTGTAGATCAGCCCGTCAAATCGGATCAGAGATAAGGGCACTGTGATTGGTTGTCTCATCCATCTCCACTCGCCACTCAATATAGACACATCAGGAACGACACTCAGCAAAGACCTAGAGGACCTGAGATGGACAAAGTGTCATATTTACATGTTTACTTTGATTAAAATAATCTTCCATTGTGCATTCTGTAAACATATATAGTTATTTAGATAAAAAAAAAAATTTAATTTTTTTTTTAGTTTATTTATTTCAAGTTAATAATTTTAGTGCTCCAACTTATTTCAGTTTATTGCCAAGGCATACAATTTTAATAATATTTATATTTTATTTTATTTAAGATTTATTTCAATTAAAATAGTTTTAGTTAACAATAATAACTATATATTTTGAGTGCAATCACTGTCAAACTTTGAAGTATTAAATGTTTTCCTCCTGAAACTTAAGATGAAGGAAGTTACACCTCACTGATTTGCAGATTTGCGGATCACCCGCTGACCTTCCTGACACTCGACTACAGCTCTAAGAACCTCCCTACAAGGACCTGAGAGAGACCATCATTCCCCTCCAGCCTGCTGAGACAGGAATGTCACACCCCGGCATCCCTGGAGCCTTGGCAAGGTGGACACAACAAACTAAAATGATTGCACAGGGAAAAGTCTAGTATGAGTAGGAAGTTAGTTTTTTGTCTTGCTATGAACCCTCATGCACCTGTGCTGTATTATTTACTACATAGTGACTAATTTCAATTTATAAAATAGATGATAATTCTAAAATAGTTAATGATTGGATGAGCCATGTTCAAAGCCATATAAAATAGTTGCATGCCTGTATCTGCACATGAGTTTATTTCAGTACTAATGTGGCATGTTTTTTTTTTTTAAAAGACATGGAGTGCAAAACCATTGGTTCATCAATGCTGAGTCAGACATCTCCACTTCAGTATTACATACGCCAAACTTTGCAGGTCTATCTTCTAAGGGGTTTGTGCATATACTATTTTTAACAGGACTAAAACAGTATTATTTTTTGATAATAAAAACATTTAACTCTAATATGTCAACAAAAAGAAACGATAATTTTGAACATAGCTTCATCCAATGTTCAGATTTCTGCTCTGTAAATGCATGCAGATTAGTGCAGATTTAATTAGACAATGCCTCATTTACATTTAAACATAACATTTAAGAAAACTTGCAATGCAAAACAATTATCTTGTTCAAATGCGGTGCCTTGCCTTGAAGATTTCAGCCAATGACCTGCAATATTTAGTGAAAACTGAGATAATTACTCCAAATTGTTTATTGAAAACTGTTGTCTTTATTACTTTGCTGTTGCATTGATTTATAAAGGAATAAGCCACCATGGGCAGTGTTTTAAACTGTACACCATGTTTTAAGCACTTAAGCCCCGTTCACACTACACGCGACTTTGTCGCTGCAAGTCGCCAGGCGCTGGCGATGAGATCGCTAGTGGGCGTTCCCACTACTGGTTGACTAGTATGACATCCAAAAGACAGCGAATCAGCTTTCTTGCCATCCATCACTGCAGGCCCAGGGGCTGAGGAGAAGGATCACGTGCGCTCCACTCCTATTGGTTGTCGCTCGCGAAAATCGCTCTTCATTTGCATAAAGTTAAAAATTTCTCAACTTTGTCGCGTCGCTAGACACGCCCCATCTAGTCGCCAACGGTCGCCGGAAGTCGCCCGCTCACCATTGAAATGAATGGTATCGCGTTGCTTGGTCGCGTGTAGTGTGAACGGGGCTTTAGATACCCCTTTACTGTGATAAACTCACTGTATTTATGACCTCAAGTGGTTTATACTGTTTTGGTACAGAAACTAACCTCCAATTAGCACGATATAACAAACATCAACCACATTCTGTAACATCCTGTTGTTTCAGTGTGTATAACTTCCTTCCAAGTGACATTAGTGCTTTATGATAAATGATGAGATCTGTGCTTTGTAGAGGAACACTTCAGACCCTAAACTTGTGTTACACAGGACCTTCTGTGTTTTACAAGCACATGAGGTCATAAACTGAAAAGGGTAGCACATTCACAAAGCATGTCGTATTCTAACTCAAATAGCCTAACTAAGTTTTCCTGTTTTTATGTTCTGTTTGAACAGTTTTGAGGAGTAATGGTGAGGTTTCATTAGGTAACTACATTAGTTAACAAAAACTAATAATGAACTGCACCTCTAGAGCATTAACTAATCTGTTAATGTTAATTTCAACATTTACTAATATTGAAATTAAAAGTTGTATTTTTTAAGTAAGGATAATGTACATCCAGCCGGTTGTTATCTCAGAATAAACCCAGCGGAGGGGACTCGCATCAGCCTGAAGGGGTTTATTCTGACATAACAACCAGCTGGATGTACATTATCCCGCTTATTATACAGCTACTTGCCACATAAGTAAATAATTAGACACAAAATAATGTGGAGTCAAAGTATTTTATTAAAAATAAAAAAAATAATTGGAGTCAAAGTATTTTATTAGCTCTTTAAACGCAAAGCTTCCGCGGATAAAGCAGTTGCAGTGTGGCAAGTTCAAACTAGACGGACATTCAAGGGATCCGGTAAAGTCCTACCACTTATTACACGCCATTTAACCACTCAAGTAATTATGGGGATAAGAGATATTGATTTTAGATTAAACCGTTTTAAAATCGTTCCTGTTTGTATCTTATAATCCAACGGTGTACAAAACAATCGCAAAATAGCAGCAGCTGCTTTTGAATGAGACGAGAGAGCGAGTCTGCGATACTGGATGACTCACAAAATATTGATTTGAATGAGTTTTAATATTTGTTTAGTTCACCAAACGCAAAACTTCCATGAAGAAAAACCGCTCCTAGTAAGCGTATAGCGCTGCTGACTTCAGTGACCCGGATGAGCCTGTGTTCTCTGTTTTCAGCGGTTGTTATCGGGGAATAACATACAGCTGGATGGCGCGATTGACCAATCAGAATCAAGTATTCCACAGAGCTGTGTATTAACATTAGTTAATGCACTGTGAAGTAACATGAACAACTGTATTTTCTTATTAACAAAAATGAACAAATACAGTAACAAATGTATTGCTCATGGTTAGTTCATGTTAGTTAATACATTAACTAATGTTAACAAATGAAACCTTATTGTAAAGTGTTACCGGAATAACAAATAAAAGTAGCAGCAATCTTACCAGCTAAATTGTGTGACAGTAGCTTAGCTGTTTACATAGTGTAGACTTATAAATAAAGATCTTATGCTTTCAAAGCTAGCTCACTATTGCTAGCCTCTCTGCCTACCCTACCTTTAATCCAGCTATTTCTGATAAATTCTTACCTGAACATGGTCTCTGCCTCCATGTCACCGAACCAGACCTTTAAGTGTGGACTGAAGTTTTCTCCGTGAAGCTCCAACATGGCCACATGTCCCCCTCCGTTTAGCTAAATCACAAAAACACTTGTTAGTGTTGTTTAGGTAAGTAACCATATTTTCTTGAATGTACAGCTTATATTTATAGTTTGATATTACATTACACTCTTAGAAAGAACTCGTAAACATTTGATCACTAGAAATAAAAGTATTATGCAATCGTTTAAGACATGTCTCCTGCTATAGAACCTTTTTGGCATAAATACACTACCGTTCAAAAGTTTGGGGTCAGTGAGAATTGTATTTTTATTTTTTGGAGGAAAGAAATCAATACTTTTATTTATCAAGGACAGTAAAGACATTTATAATGTTACAAAAGATTCTATTTCAAACAAATGCTGTTCTTTTGAACTTCCTATTCATCAAAGAATCCTAAAAAAAAAAAAAAAAAAAACTGTACAACTGACAGACCAACAACTGTTTCAACATTGATAATAATAATAAATGTTTCTTGAGCATCAAATCCTCATATTATACTGATTTGTGAAGGATCATTTGACACTGAAGACACTGACACTGGTGATGCTGAAAATTCAGCTTTGATCACAGGAATAAATTACACTTTACTATATATTCACACAGAAAACAGCTGATTTACACTGGAATAATATTTAATACTATAACTGATTTTTGTTGTATTTTTAATCAAATAAGCGCAGCCATGGTTAGCAGAAGAGAATTCTTTTAAAAGTATTTAAAATCGTACCGACCCCAAACTTTTGAACGGTAGTGTAGTTTTATATAGAACCCCAGTGAACACTAAAGACTAAAGTGAACAATTCGATTTTTCTCTTGAATTAACTTTTAAAATTGAGTTGAAGAGGTGTAATGAAGAAACATTTATTGAGTGCTTGATTTCTGACCTCTAGTCCACTGATCGCAGGCACAGGGCTGATGGTGGTCGGGTGACCGGCTAGACTCTCACTGAAGGTGTATTCAACCACCTCTGTTCCAATGATGGCCCAACAGGATCCATCATTCAACAACACCTTATTACTTTCCTTAGGACACGGAGAGGCCTACAAGTTTGGAATCACATGAGGGTAAGTAAATGCCTTTTCATTGTGGGGTGAACTATTCTTTTAATTAAATGTCATGGCCTGTGTTCACCTCGAACTGTATGATTTTCTCATTGGACAGGCAGAGGTACATGTGGTTGCTGTCTCTGAACTGGAAAGCACATTTATGAAGCTGAGAGACGGGCTCATCCACGTCTAGACATGCATGCTGCTTGTTCACCTTACGTATTACCTGCAAAGAAAGAAAAGCGCATCAGGTAGCTATTCACACAGCTGAACGGTTTCCTACATTTGACATGACTTTAATAGAGCAACAGTGATCCTCAACCTTTTCTCATTCTTGCTTCTGAAAGTTTTAGTTTTGTAAAAAAAAAAATTCAGTTTAAAAAGAAATCTTATACGTATGGCTTGGACATATTTAATCATAAGAGATCATGGTAGTTCTCTTTATATGGTTTTGTTAAAAAGCAATTGTTCTGTAAAGAAAAAGAATGAGATGTTACTTCCATTTTTAATTCGATTTTTTTGGCTCACCAAGGCCGTATTTATTTAATCAAAAATACAGCAAAAAACAGTAATATTGTGAAATATTATTACAATTTAAAATAACTGTTTTCTTTTTTAATATAATTTAAAATCTAATTTATTTCTGTGATGCAAATCTGAAATTTCAGCATCATTACTCCAGTCTTCAATGTCACATGATCAAATCATTCTAATATGCTGATTTGCTGCTCAATTATCAATTATTATCGGTGCTCAATTATAAATAATGGTTCTTATTTTTATCAATGTTGAAAAACATTTTTGCTGCTTAATATTTTTGTGGAAACCATGATACATTTTCATCTGGATTCTTTGATGAATAGAAAGTTCAAAAGAACAGCATTGATTTTAAATCAGAAAATCTGTGCCCTTGTTAAATAATAGTATTATTATTTTTTTAACAGTAGTATATTTTAAACCGTTGTTATCCTGATCTCCACAACAACAACAACAAAAAATTAAGCAACAACTGTTTTCATCACTGATAATAAGGAATATTTCTTAAACACTAAATCAGCATATTACAATGATTTCTGAAGGATCATGTGATGCTGAAGACTGGAGTAATGATGCTGAAAATTCAGTTTTGCATCACAAGAATAAATTTAAATTTTCATTATGAAAACAGAAAACAGTTATTTTAAATTGTAAATAATATTTCAAAATATTTCTGTTTTTACTGTATTCTTGGACTTGGTGAGCCTTTTGGCTTATTTAAAAAACATTAAATAAAGGTTCTTTATTTCCATTCCACAAAAGGTTCTTTATAGTGGAAAAGGGTTCTTTAGGCTATTAAAAAAAATTGTTCTTCACATTATTTTAAAAACTGTTCACTGAAAGGTTCTTTGGGGAACCAAAAATGGTTCTCCTATGGCATCATTGTGATTGAAACCTTTATTTTTAAGAGTATAATTGTTTAAAGTCCTCTTCATTTCGTCTCAGAAATCTGATATGAGCAGACCAAAAAAAAAAGATGATTCATCGCCCTTCTATCATGCAACACTGCACCTGGTCTCATTCGACCGGCCCCCGCAACACCTGTGTGCTGCACAATATGCCTGACTGTTCACTCCTCCAAAACTGCAGCTTGGGGATCACAAATCCTGCTGCATGAGGGCTTCAAATACACCCTTGCAAACCAAAACAAACCAGTCAGCAATTTCAAACAACTAAAACAACATTGTGAAGGTCTATTCTGTTTGCTAGTCTGCTAAATGTGGTATTAAACGTTGTCCTTGGCATTTTGATCAAGTGCTTTATCAGCAAATTGTGGCGCAGGCTGGTAGCAGACCAGCTTCCCAAAAACACCACATGGATGGAAATTTGTACAGAACAGACTTCAGAGACATGGGTGAAAAAAAAATATAGATTAAAAATACACAGAACATTCAGATTCAATCCAACAAGGTTTTTAAAATAAAAAAATGCATGGTTTTATTTACACTTTGTTAGCATGCAGTAGAGCACCAATACATTCCAGTAAGATTTTGTTACTGAAAAATAAACACTGGGAAACTGATTAAAATATCTAATCAGATATGTGCAATAGCACCTAACAGAATTGTAAAATTACCTAGATTTTTATATTGTCTGACCTGTACAATACTTGTAGCCATAATGCCAAGTGGCAGCAAGGCTTTTGCACTTAATATTCAGTAATATTATTGATTTGATTGAAATTAAACTATTGAGAACCAAACTTGAATTGAGCTGGAAGAGGACACCAGTTTTATAGCTGAATCAACTGTTATTGAACCATATCGAATCAACACTGAACTGACTCAGAAGTGAAAAACAACACTATTGTCTTCTGTAGTGCTCCTTATAGCTGAATTGAACTTATTTCATTATTTAATTAACAGTTATTGAACTGACCTGAATCAACTCTGAACTGACTTGAGCTGAATAATGATACTATTGTCTTTTTCTAGAGCTGCTTTACAATAGAATTGAATTTTGTTTGCATCATTGATCATTTTCTTGTTTATCACTGCTTTTTTTTAATATAAATTGCTACATAAAAAAAGGTGACGACATGTAATGGAAAGAAAAACGTTATATACTTGCATACCATTGGTGGCAGCGCCACTCCTGAGTCAGTGCATACCAGCTGAACCACACAGCCGTAACAGATGTAGCTGTCACACATGGTGTATTCACTATGAATCGCTTGCATCTCCTCCACTAGGAACAGAGTTGAAACAGAGTGAGTATTAGGGTATAGCTCTGTAGGGGGCGAGAGAGAAAATTAGACCTTACTCAGACCAGGATTTGGCCTTGGGCGCTGTACAGGGGTTAAACCCATTTATGCTACATTTATACCAGCTGCTGAACACATGCTGCTGACATTTACAATTTAAGCTTTTACAATTTCTATTCTTTGGGTGAAGTGTCGTATTCTGGAAAACTGATTTTACTCTCGAATGCAGCGAGGCATTAAGCATTTGTAAGAGTTTATTTACTTATTCACGCTGGACGTCCAGCACCGAGTTTTGTCCAGTTGTTTCTAGACTTGTTTGGGTTTCTTGTGTTTATTTAGCTACTGTGGTGAAGGGTGAATTTGTCCTAACAACATACACTGGGTCTGTGTATACGCATGGGTGAACCCGGGCTAAAGGAAATACTTCCGCAAAAAGGGTTTCCCATGTCATTAGAAGGTGCAGAGTAAGTTGTTATAATAATACTGTTAGGTGTGTAGTACATGCGCCAATTTTTTGAGAAGTCTCTGCATCATTTGCATGCAATTATTACTAAATGAGTCCCAATGTTGGTAACCTTGTTAACATATGAATGGTATAGCCCCATATAATTTTTGTTGTTGTAAACATTTTTTTAATTTTTGAGTTTAAGAAACAAATGGCGAAAAATAATGTGAAATGATATGTCATATAAAGAGGACACCAGGACTCAGTTAATAATAAAATGAAAACAAGAGTCTATAACCAAAACAATGTTGTTGTTGTTGTTTTTTTACATTTTTATATTCAGTATACCAGTCCATTTTGGGTTCCAGGCTATTTTTTTCTATATAATTTTTCCTCTGTAAAACAGATATGAGAATAATGTTGGAAAAATATGTTTAGAAACTGTTTGTATTTTGTATGCATCCAAATATGCACAAAGACTTTTACAAAGATTCTCAACTATGGTATGAAAGATATTAGAGAATGATATGATAAACTATTTTACTTAACACAATATATGTGTAAACCTTTTTACAGTCTATGGTGTAAACATGGTCAAAAATGGGTTTTTCCATTATATACAATGGTGTTCTTTTGGGCAACATGTAAATAAGTAAAGTAGCAGCTATAAAAATGAGAGTAATAACTTGGCAACATTTTCATTATATCTTATATTTCAAACAAATGTTGAAATGAAAAATGTCTTCCCTATTCACTTATTATGTCACTCTAAAATGCCTGATGCCTATGCTGTGAGTCCTGGTGTTGTTTACATATTCTGATTTCAAACCCTGCTAAAGTTGTCCTGATATGTTAATTTACGACAAACAATATGAAAATTAGTCAGATAATTACATGATTATAATTACAAAATATCATCATATTCCCGTAAGAGTGCTGAATTTAGTCATTCAGTCAATGTCAATCATATCTCTGAAAAGACCTAAATGTGCTCTTTACAAGACATCCAGACTTAAAACTGTGGCTCATATGGTCTCAAAGAAATTTGCTAAAATATGGGGAGGAAAAAACTCCATTGCTGGCTCTCAGGAGTATATAAAAGACCATTAACCCAAGGTTCACAAACATGTAGTGTAAAATCTTGACATGATTCATTACTAACCAGTGTGAAAAATGAACCCTGTGAGCAATTTCATGTGTGGTCAATAAACATTGTTTTATTCAGTTATGTGTATGAAGGACTGAGATAATAATGGATTAAAGTAGAATAAAAGAGACAAAGCATTGCATCTCAAACCTAAAGTGACAGTGAATGCCGTCCATCGTCTCGCGCTGGCGACAAAAGCCCCGTCTTCCACCGCCAGGTAACGTGTACTGACTGTCTGTGACCGCAAGCGGTTAAATAACGACACTTTTGAGCCTGAGGAAATACACACTGCAGAAACAAACACACATTTGTACAAAAACTAAAACTATGGGCAAACAAAAGAAACACCATAATATTTAAACACTCACTGACATATATGCATACACATTCATACTGACAGGAAGAAAGCAAACACAAATGACTGATATACTTTGACTAATGCCAGTCTGTTCTTTTTCTAGAACTTTGTCTCATTGTCTGTCTCTCCCACAAGACGGTGAGGAATTCATCGTCACTTGACTGCTGCTCTCAGATGTCAAGCGCCTCTTTCTTCCCCGTAGAACCTCTCTGTGGATCCAATAGTCAATGTCAACAGCAGCTGCCCTCTTAGTGTGTGCTTTAGGATCAAAAGGTTAGAGGTCAAATGTCTGACTTCTGTGGCAATGGCTGCTGGGTGACACTATTTAGCGGCTTGACCTCACTTCTCATACATGAAGACACAGCAACACAAACTTACAGGGGTTCGGTTTCTACACCGGATGACCCTTTTATGTAACGGCACTTAGTCAGTGTAGACGTCATATTTGATTTGATCCAAATGAGGGATAGATCAACAGTCCATTCAATAGGTTGTACTGTTTTGTATTGTCATGTCAACTGTTTAGTTAACAACACAAAACAAAAAATTATAATTTGGGGAAAAAACATGGGAAACTGTGGGCTGTGAAAATTAGTCATGACTTATAACCTTAAAACTGTAAAACTGAATTTCAGTGGACTGAATGTCTATCGATTGCATCAAATTAAATATAGACTTTCAGAATTGCACACAAATACACACATGCACAGACTCACGGTCAGCATTCTTCATGGACTGTCTCTTCTGTGATGGTTTGGAGATGACTTTAATGAGTCTGCTGTTAAACATGCCGATTTCTTGCCCTCCGCTGTGAAACAGGTGTAGAAGCAGGCGGAAGTGCTTTCGTTTGTCAGTATCTGAGATATACAAGGTTTTAGCGCAGGCAAACATCTGAAAGATAGAATGAAATAGACACAAATGAGTCAGTTGTTAACGTTTTCAAAAGTTCAAAAGCTTGGACTTGAAAATAAAAGAAGTCTCTTATGCTCATCAAGGCTGCATTTATTTAATAACATTTTTTGTAAAACTGTAATATTGTGAAATATTATAATTAAATTATAATTTTTTTAAATGTAATTTATTCCTGAATTTTTAGCATCATTATTCGAGTCTTCAGTGTCACATGATTCTTCAGAAATCATTCTAATATGCAAATGTGTTGCTCAAGAAACATTTCTTCTTCTTATCTATGGTGAAACTGCTTAACATTTTTGTGGAAAATGTCATTCATTTCACCCCAGAATTCTTTGCTGAATAAAAAAATCAAGAAAACAGCATTTATTATAAAAATAAATATTTTGTAACATTATACATCTTTACTGACTTCAGTCTTTACTGATCAAATTAATGCATCCATGCTGAATAAAAGTTTTAATTTCTTACTGAGCCCAAACTTTTGAAAAGTAGTGTAACTGTCAGATGTATATACAGTCTTAGAAGAAATACTGTAAAATGTCAGTTCATATTTAGGTCTCCGACTTTTGGTAGCAGACTTTGATTTCTTGGCAAATCTGAACACAGTTTGAGACATTTTTAGTAGAGCAACAGCGCAGCGCTACGTCAGAACGTAGGCTCACTATTGGCCAGCATCACAATCATGACCAGCGTCGGCCAATAGTGAGCCTTTGTTCTGACGTAGCGCTGCGCTGTTACACAACGTGAACTCACTCAGAAGCCCACATAGAAGAAAACGAATAGTTGAATAAAGTGGTTATTTTGGGGGGGTTTTTGCACACAAAAAGTATTCTCGTCGCTTGATAAACTTAAGGTTGAGCCACTGTAGTCACTCGGACTATTTTAACAATGTTTTTACTTACTTTCTGGGCTGGCAGGTTTCAATTACAATAGAAGCATATGAAGGAGTGAGACAGCTCTCAGATTTAATCAAAAATATCTTAATTTGTGTTCCGAAGATGAACGAAAGTCTTACGGGGTTGGAACGACATGAGGGAGAGTAATTACTGACAGAATTTTCATTTTTGGGTGAACTGTCCCTTTAAGAGGAGGCACGTGGGAGTTTTCCACAGAATACAAATCTGAGAACTCAAATAACCATTTAATCTCATTGCTGTTTTTGGAGAGATATTAAAGAGATCTTGTTTATGATTATTATTTCCTGTGGGCAGGAATAAAGCAACTAAAAGATCAAGCCCATATTCTTTGTTCATCCAACTGCTCTTCTTACATAAACCTAGTGGTAATCCAGGTAGAATAAACATATGATCCCAGCTCCAAATCTCTCTGTACACACAGGAGTCATGTTCTCTCATAAGCCTGACAGACTCTCTCCTCTTTGATCGCGGTGTTTTGCCAATGTCTCACCCTCTTGTCTGTCTGCTCCTCAAAGCTCAGCTTGAAACTGTCTGTCCGTGGATCAGTGGAGCTGTCCAGACCCATGTAACCGAAAAGCTGACAACTGGACTCACCTAGACCTGATGCTGAGTGAATATAAATGGGAAAAAATTAGAGTGAATTACAATGGTAAGAATGAAGATGCTCTCACAGGCCACTGACCTTTAAGCTGCTCCTGTCTGAGTTTCCATCCGTGTCCAGTGAGGTACACACAAGGAGGGGGGCAGAAAAACCTATGGAAACACACAAACCATTATTTTTGGAATGAGACATGAAGAAAGAGGTGTGCAATAGTCTTACTTTCTGTAAATTATGTTCCTGTGAGTGATAAAATAACCTGCTGGAAAAATGGCTAAAACAACCATTTGGAACATGGTAGATGGTTTCTAGCTAGGCATAATCTCGTCCAAGCTGGTTAGTCAATCTTTATCAAGCTAGACAGAACTGGTAGACCATCTTGAACCATGAACAAACCAGCTTCCATGTTCCAAAAAAACAGTTTATGCTGCGATGTGATTTGTCCAGCAAAGATTTGGTTTAGACATTTTCCCAAAAGCTAAACCAGCTGATTTTCAGTACATTGTGTGTGTGTGTGTGTGTATGCTGGTAAACCCTGCATAATGTGGACAAAATGTCCCCACAAAGATGGTAATATCTAAAATTCTTGGAGACATTATTTGGTCCCCATGAGGAAAACAGCTTATAAATCCTACTAAGTCATGTTTTTTTTTAAAATGCAGAACGTTTTCTGTGATGGGTAGGTTTAGGGTTAGTGTAGGGGGATAGAATATACAGTTTGTACAGTATAAAATTCACTAGGTCTATGGAAAGTCCCCATAAAACATGAAAACGTGTGTCTGTGTGTGTGTGCATGCATGTATATTTCACTTTTTGAACATGTTAATGCACAGATGTAAATCATTTTTACCTTTTCTCATTCCCATAAGACTTCTGGGCCACTTTGGCATGCAAGATGATCACTGATTGGTCAGGTCTGAATTGAAGGTATTGCCTCACTGAATCTCTGGTTACTTTTTGCAACATGGAGAAATTTTGTTCCTCCCTAGTGATGCACAAAAATATTTCTTTTAAACTGGCATCCTCTCCAAAGTAAACTATCTGTGCTCTTCTCAAATATCCTATCATCTAGGTCTTTATTTTGTGACACAATTTAAACATTAAAATTAATGTAGAAAATTGGGGCATTAACAGCCTTTTTGGCTGTCCTTGACGTTTGTGGTTAGTTTTGCTGAGCTTTCTGACATTAACCACAGCAACAAGCAGTCTGTGATTCAGTAATAGATATTATAAAGTTTTATATACACTGAAATAAATAGTGGGTTGGATGTGTAGACAGTGATGCAGAGACAATAAGAGGACAGACCATGCCACTTTCCAATCATTTTTGAAAAAGAACGTTGTTTTATAGAGCTAGAAAATTTGATACACATATTTGGGGAAATATATTATATATAAAATAAATCCTTTTATCATAGTTTCCCTTTTAAATCATTTTAGGCACAGGAGAAGATTCTTATAATGCTTGTTTTATTAAAACTTTTAGAAAGCATCTTTCATGATCCACACAGGAATAAAAAAGTATCATGGGATAGGATACATGAGTATGTAAATGACAGGTTTTTCATTTTTCAGGTGGACTATTAAGCAATTTGCTCTCCATGTACATTTCTGATGAAATACGATGAGGCCCATAACACTTAATTAACTAAGTTAATATTTAACTTTGATTAATTGTTTCATATGATCTATTTGCAGTTATTCATTTCACTTTTAAGTATCTCGTTTTATTACTCGAAATGGTTTATTTAATTAATATTATGGGAATCTCCTGCCCTAATTTTGTTCAGTATTTTTAACAGTGCATACTTTTCTGATTAGGAGCCCAATGATATAACTGTGGTATTTCCCAGCAGAGTTAAATGTTTTTATTGAAATCTCACATTATTCCCCAGGCTTCGAATGTTTCAGTCTGTCTGCCTGGGTTTTATATTTGAGGCATTCCCAAGAGGATTTGGGGTCAAAGGCAGTAATGTTAGGCTACCTCCTACTTTGAGCGCATTTAGGATGGAGGTCAAATTGGATCCCTGTGTTTGGCTGATATTTTTAAAGAGTGTTGGTAACCACTGATTTCCATAGAAAAGAGGGGAAAAAACTATGAAAGTCAATGGGGACCAGAAACTGTTTGGTTACCAACATTCTACAACATATATTATTTTGTGTTCAACACAAAAAAGAAAAATTAATACAGGCTTGAAACAACTTGAGGGTGAGTGAATGATGACAGAATTTTCATTTTTGGGTGAACTATCCCTTTAAACGACCAGTTAAAGTAGGCCTATCTAAAACACACTTTCCTTTCGTAGCTATAACTGCACTCTAAGATCTTAAACGTTATTTGTCGACTACCCTAATACAGGCACTATTAATGTTTCATAGAACGAATAAGAAAATAGCATCACTGTAAATGAAGTTCAAACTGATAAAGTCAGCTCTGTGTTCACAAATGGCACTTCAAGAGCTCGTGCATCAATCGTGGACTAAAGCAGAACCGCAAGGAATTTCTGAAGGCTCACTAAAAGAAAGCTAATGTTCTCTATCCTGCAGCAAGCAACCCCCCAAAGAAATCCTGCCTGCTCTTCCCATTTCGGACGGGGGTGGGATCTACATTTCAAACGTTCTCTGCAGATTTAATACCTGGCCAATGTCCTGACTGTTCACTCTATCCCCGAATAATCGCCTGGAGAGGTTACTACTGACCTTAAGGAACGGCTTGACACTTTTAATAGGCTTCCTGAACCACTTCAGCGTCGTATTTTTGGATACCGTTGCACACTTCTACAGTAGAGTTTGTACCTGTGAGATTACCTGAGGTGAGTGAAGCACGCGTCTGATGTGTACAGGTGAGGGGCTTCAGTAGAGTCCACGATGGCCAACCCTGGAGAATTAAGAGGAAAATATCGTTGTTTCTTGTTTTTTTACTAGTTTTATTGAGTTGTAAATTAAGCAAAACTACTGAAACTGTTTGTTTAATGACATAGAGACTGACCTTCTTAAAAAAAAAATGTATTACTTATTAGCAGTTTTGAAATGGTTAAACCTATTCAATGTGTGCAACATGCTTAGCTGAGCAATATTTTCGTGCTATTTTTTAAACGGTGCTTTCAGGCTAAACGTCTTCTGCAATTTTCCCTGAGGAAAAAATATTGTTTTATTTAATTAGGCTTTATAATAATAAAAAATACTGCATTTTGAATACACCAACGTTCACGTATAATTTCAATCGATCTCAAATAAGTTAAATGTTTGTATGTAAGTTTTGAGAATGATGACATAGCTACTTGGAAATAAATAAATAATTGTCGCGATATTTAAAAAATACACTCGATTTGTTGAATATATATATAAAATCTAAATGTTATGTGACCCATTTTTCAAGATAATTGTATTGTTATGGTCGCATCTCGTGCTCCTTTTATACCTGCGAAAAGTGAATTTGTTTAAAATAGCATATTAACATACTATTCATACTATTTCTGCAGTATGTAGGCCTATGCTGTGTGTGCACTAACTGTTCTGTATCCATTAAATATGATAGTTTGCAATATAAAAGCGCACTGTGGAATACTGACCTCCCACAATACAATGTTCTCAAATTAGCCTACGATTTCCAAGTATTAGGTCTTTGCAGGAGAGTAATATTTCTGTCAAAGCTGTTAACTGTAAATTTCAACCCATTATTTGTAATCTAAACACAGTTGAATATAAATTGCAACATTTATTTAATGATTGATTGATTGATGACCTGAATCGTTGAATTAAACATGCAACATTAATGGAGTTGACTAATGTTTGAAACTTTTATTCTTGTATATTTTATTCTGTTAAACATAATATTAAAGCAACTGTGACCGTAAATAGTAGCCTATACTGTGCAGTAAGTACTCCATTCTGAACACAACACAGCCAAGAGCTGAACGAATCTAAATATAGATCAGCATGTAACAGACTTTGTCTCAAAACCTAGTGTGCTGTCAAGCTAAACAGCATTTCCACAATGCTGTCTAGATAGGCAGCTCCCTTGGTTTTGGGACACCATCACATGCTTTAGGTGCGCAGTGGTTGGCTGGAGGCGAAACCGCTATTAGTAGCAAAGCATCACATCTGCTTTCAATCCTGCTTTAACAAGAAGCTGCTGTTAGTTAATCTAACTGTGAAGCTGTCAGTCAATCTGCTGCCAAAGAAACCATGCTTGTCATTTTCCTCCATTTGCCCTCTTCCTCTAATGCTCCTGTCTTCTCTCTCACTGCCTCACACTGGGTTTTTCTTTGGTCTGTCTGAGAGAAATGTTTACACTGTGAGGCTTTAACCCATGTAGATCCCTTTGGGCTAGAGCTGGGATCTGGGAAGCAGTCTTCCAAAGATATACTCAGCACACTGAAAGAAATGTGCTGTCACTCTTCTTTTTTTTTACTGTCTGTCACCTTTTCTCACTCCTCTACCATGTTGGGAGGCACTGTCAATCTCTCAAGACTTTTTTTTTTTTTTTTTTATGCTCAGAGATTGCTGAAACGGAAACCTATGATAGGGTCATATTTCACACCAGAATCAAACTTATACTACTTAAATAATATAAAGCATATTTTTGGTACCATTAAGTTTAAGACAGTTTTTAACAATGAAGAACATTTCCCCCACCATGGGGTTTTGTACTGCCTTTAATTTATACTGATATATGATTTATGCTCAGAATTATTTGTTAATTAATTATTTTTAATAATAATAAATATTATTTACAGTAATATAAATACAAATATTATTAATTTTCTTAAAATAATGTCCACCATTGTTAACAAGCATGTTTCTCTTTTAATGTTTTATTTATTTTTAATTAAATAAATAAAAATATTATATAATATAATTTTTTTTATTTTTATTTTTATTTTTTTTGTTTACAAGAATGTCCACCGTTAACATATTTCCCACACTGACCTGTTTCTCTGTCTCCTTTCCTTTGGTCTTGCATGACGCTCAGGTGTACAACAGCCGTTTTGAAATCTTCATAAAGTCCTCTACAGTGCCAGACACTCCACTGTTGTTCATGCTTCCAGGTTTTACTTTATTCTCTCCTTTCGCAATGTGACGACAGTGTAACTGTCAGAGCTCTGTTGTAAGAAGACTTCTCCATCTCCAATTCCAATAACTGTGTTATCAGCCTTATAGGAGTATTTGTAAATCTATATAGATGTTTGTTTTTAGAGATAGTCACCTGTACTCAGGTGCTGAATTCTCACGCCTCCCTCCACGTGGCAAGCAGTTACTGATACAAGTGAACATAGAATGAGCCGTAAAGTCCAAATAGAAATAAATGTGGCTGACATTTATTGCTGATTATGTTGTGGAGAGAAAGCATGGACACCAAACCATCTGGCTTTCCAGTTACAACCAACAAGCAAACAGGATTCATATTGAAAAGGATAAGTGATTTTACACAACTTGGTAGTCACATGGAATTTGCATTATTTCCAGATGCAGGGCCTAACATTTTTAAATATGGGGGGTGTGTGTTCATTAAACCAGCAAACCCCTTTTACAAGGTCCTGCATGTTCTTCAAAGCCAGTTTAATGGAAACATTTGCAAAGTCAAAATTTTAAATCAGTACATGCAAATGGACTGGAATAACTGCACCTCTTTATATGTCTGCTATGCTGTGTGTAGTTAAAGATGACATGGGCTGCCATCCAAAAGTCATGGTGCTATATTCTCTGTAAACATTAAATAACCACTTCAATCTTCTGAATTTATTGGCTCTCTGCCAGCATGATGTGTGTGACCATACAGTGCTGAAATAATCAAAGCTGAGTTAAGGGTCTCCGCAGCTCGTACACACACACTCAAAGCCTATAATGACCACATATAGCACAGAAGGCTTCATTGTATTTGCACACAGGGGGCTGATGTCTGACGTTTACCTGGATGCCACTGAAACCGACAGTTATGTGCAGAGTCTTAATCAAGGCTTGGAGAAACCACAAACCAGCACTGGTCATAGAGGTCACTCTATTTCATGCTTAGAGTAGTATATAGACATGCATGTGCAATATCTTTTCCCGTCTATGTCTTTTTGAAAAATGTATGTCATTATTTACTCGCACACATGTTATTTCAAAACTGTATGATTTTATCTTCCAGATTGACCAAAAATGACCATAAAGATGCATGTTTGAATATGTAATCTGTAGAAGCAGTGTACATTTTTCTAGCACCAATGTTAACAAATGAGAGCGTTCACATCGGAAGCGTGACGGACACTACTGTTGAAATGTTTGATGTCGGTAATTTTAGAAGGTTTTTGAAAGAAGTCTCTTATCCTCACCAAGGCTAAAAAAATATACAGTAAAAACGGTAATATTGTGAAATGTTATTATAAACTTAAATATGTGTTTTTTATTTGAATATATTTTACAATGTTCCTGTGATGGCAAATCTGAATATTCTGCATCATTACTTCAGTCTTCAGTGTCTCATGAGCCTTCAGAAATAATTCTAATATGCTGATTTGCGGCTTAAGATTTAAAAAATATATATATTTTTAATGTTGAAATCAGTTGTGCCTCTTAATATTTTTGTGGAAAATGTGATACATTTTACAGGATTCTTTCTTTTGTAACAATATAAATGTTTTTACTGTCACTTTTGATCAGTTTAAAGTGTCCTTGCGGAAAAAAAACGTATTTAAAAAAGGGTAGCTCTTTATTTTACAGTCCTGTTCCGCATGTACATACTATGTACTTATAGTTATTACAATAACTGGGTAATAACTAGGTACCAACCCTGAACCTATCCCTAAACCTAACCTTAACCCGTGTAGTTATTACCAGTACGGTAACTACACTGTAAGTACACATACTGTAAAATCAAGTGTAGCCAAAAGGGTAGGTAAATGATGACAGAATTTAAAATTTTGTATTAAATCTTTCTGTAAGCATATCAGCTTCAACTCTGCAAATTGTACTGCTGAAAATCCTGTTTTTAATTGAATAGATAGGAATGCAGCACAGCAGTAATCTGTCTGGCTGTTTTATCTGCTGGGTTCAGAGACTGTAAAATTCATGCCAAACCATGCATGACACACTCTAGTGATACCATGACCACTGATAGTGATAACCCTTATCAGGCCCTTGGAGAGGTAGATCCCTTTGCGAAAGTCAAAGTGACTGACAGCACTCTGTTTACAGCGCCAGTGTCCCAGATGCAGTTATTTTCCAGCAATTGCTTCACACAGCGTTTGAACTCTGCCTGTGGTGATGTGATTGGCCCAAAAGTCTATTAACTCTTCCATGTTAACAGTCTGTTTAGAAGTGCTGCTGTGGACCATCTGTTTGGTGTCGCCGGTTTATTGCAAGCTCAGACTGGAATGTATGGCTGCCTTTAAAGCACAGATTTCCCTTGACCTGCAATTTTTCTGTTTCTTTCTCTTCTCCACCTACAGCCAGTGGGATTTTTACGGCGAGATTGGGCCTTTGTCGACGAAACATGACACGTGTGTTGGTGTATGTTGGTGTGCTAATAGCCATAATGGCTGCAACAGAAGCAAGACCTAAATCAGGTTGGTTGAACCGCCGTTATAACACTAATAAATCAATCTTGACAGTAACAGCGGTAGACACTACCTCAGAGTCTGTTTATTACACTAAGCATTTAGTGGTGGCACAATTGTGTTGGTATTGGCAAATCAGATGGCCATTGTAGAGCATGTTTTTTTTTATCAGCTAGATCTGTGGTTCTCAAATGATTCAGGATCCAGATTTTACATGCAAAGATAAACCAAAATGTATGTATTACATGAACTGCATCGGCTCAGTATGCAAAATTAATATTAACATGAGGTTTGGCTGAAAAGTAAAATGGACTGCATAATATTGTCTTTTATAATTTGAGTGTTTGGTTTCTAAATGCCTCTTAAATTCTCTTCAATGCTCTTAGCAGCCATTAATTCACCTAACAAAGCATGTTTATCCTTGCTTTGATGGTGAACCTTTATTTAATGTATACCAGATCTTTTATTTCTGTTCATTTCTTTTTCTTTGTTCATGGTTACCAAGGAGCAGGTCAACCATCTTCCTAATTTGACTACTAAATGACAGATTAATTTGGACCTGAAAAGAGTTTGATTAGACAACATTTAATGTCAGCAGTCAAAGTGTTTCCTACTCCCTTTTAAAATGTATTACAAAAGTCATTAAAACCATTTTGGGGTTCCCTAAAGAATCTTTCAGTGATCAGTTCTTATAAGAACCATTTTTTTTTTCCCTAAGTGTCAAGAATATTTTAGTAATCCATAGAATCTTTTTTCCACTATAAAGAACCTTTTTTGAACCACTGGGAAGGTTCTATGGATGGTAAAGGTTCTTCATGGAACCATCAATGCCAATAAAGAACCTTGTACATGTACTTGCTTTCTCATACTCACTTTAAACAGTGTCAATATTGTCCTATTGTGGTTTTTAATTCTATTTCCCCACATTTTACAGCTGAACCAAAGTGCAAATCTGGTCCGGTTGACCTTGTGTTCATCATCGACGGCTCTCGCAGTGTTCGCCCCCATGAGTTTGAGACTATGCGCAAGTTCATGATTGACATCATCCATGAGATGGACATTGGCCTGGAAGCTACAAGAGTTGGTGTGGTCCAATACTCCAGCCAGGTCCAGAACGTCTTCTCCCTCAAAGCCTTCAGCAAGCCAGCGCAGATGGTCAAAGCTATCAATGAGATCATTCCATTGGCACAGGGCACAATGACCGGCCTGGCCATCCGCTACGCCATGAATGTAGCCTTCTCTGCCGAGGAAGGCGCCCGTCCCAACGTTCCCCACGTAGCTGTTATCGTGACGGATGGTCGCCCTCAGGACCGCGTGGCTGAAGTGGCAGCTGCTGCGAGAGAGTCTGGGATTGAGATCTACGCCATTGGTGTCGCCAGGGCCGATATGACATCACTGCGAGCAATGGCATCACCACCGTTTGAGGATCACGTGTTCCTCGTGGAGAGCTTTGACCTTATTCACCAGTTTGGGCTTCAGTTCCAAGACAAGCTTTGTGGTAAAGTGTTTCTCCATGTGATATAGGCTCAAAAACCACATTGAATGAATCTAGACATTTGTGTTGAACTTTTTAACTTTTCGGATTCTTTTCTACCTCAAACCTCAGCTCAAAGTTGCATGTTTTCCTTCGCAATAACAAAAGATATACAGTACTGTTTGAAAGTTTCGGGTTGGCACAAATTTGAAAGCTCTTGAAAGAAGTTTATTATGCTCACTAAGGCTGCATTTATTTGATCAAAAATGCATTATTATTACTACATTTTATTACAATTAAACATGTCATTTATTTATGTGACTTATTTGAAAATCTTTTGGGTAACAATTTAATTTAGTGTCCAATTCTCACTATTAACTAGTTGCTTATAAGAATGCATATTACAAGGATATTGGTTGTTAATTGGTACTCATAAAGCACATATGAATGCCTTATTCTGCTTGAGTTTATTCTACATCCCTTAATCCACCCCATACCTAAACTTAACAACTACCTTACTAACTATTAATAAACAGCAATTAGGAGTTTATTAAGGCAAAAGTCATAGTTAATAGTTAGTTAATAGTGAGGATTGAACCCTAATCTAAAGTGTGACCATCTGTCACACTTTAGATTAGTTTTATTATTATTATTTTTCTGTCACGCCAAAGTTTTATTATTATTATTATTATTATTATTATTATTATTATACATTTCTTTTAAAAAAAGTATTACTGACCCCAAACTTTTAAATGGTACTGTATACATTTAAGATACATCGTGAAATAAAATATATTTAAATATAAAAATAAATAAATTCTTAATTTTTTATTCTTTATTGTTATTTTTTTCAACAAAAATTGACTAAAGATAGTGGATTTTAAGGAATTGATTAGTTTAAAGGAAATTTTTGTCAAAAGTCAAAACATTGGTCGTGAACATTGGTTCACATTGTCCTTTTGATCTTTAAATCAGTCCCACCTTTAATTGTTTTCTCGTTGAATATCCTAATTCAACAAGGATTCAAATGCTTAAATCTTATGCTGACTTTAAGCATATGAATGCTGTTGCTTTTTTTGCCCTGTGATTGTGACCACTATGATATAGTTT